AGGGGAGAACAGGGAGCCCACCAGTAACTTCAGCTGAAAGACAGACAGCACTCCTGGTTCCTGTGAGCAGCAGGGAAAGGAATTTATTCTCCTACCAGGTCTTAAACTGGGAAAACATCTGCACTTGTGTTTCAGTGAATAATGAATAGGGGACATGGAGAGGAAGTGTCTAGAATAGGTGATCAGGATTTGAGGTGTCTATATTGGACATATGGATGCAGTCTGGGGTTCCATATTTAGAGGTGTCCATGCCTCTTACCTTATTGATGGATCCATACCCTCTACCCTGGATCTAACCCTAGAAGAGTTAAAAAATATTTGTTTATGTCCCCCCACCATGAGGATGTTTGAGTACAGATGAGGCTATGGCCTACCTCCTTTAGATGAGTATGGATTGTGGGGATCATGCCCCCACCTCCAAGAATGTATGAGTATAATGGCTTAGGGCTTCTGGGACAGAGTGAGATCTGCAATGTTGGCTTGCTAGTGTAATTGCTTCCCCGCCCCCACAACATTAGCATAAACACACACACACACACACACACACACACACGCACACGCACACTCACACGCACACACACACACACACACACCAGAAAGAATTTATACATATTTTCTCACACTCCTTGACACACATTCTATGCTTTGACCATAGCATCACTGCCTTTCTAGGCCCATGTCTAAAGAGGTGGCTGGGAAACCAATGTTTGTGTTTTGCTCTTTTGTGGGTGGGCCACCACCCAGCTCCCAAATAAATCATACATGGATGCTTGTATTTAATTATGAATGCCCAGCCTTAGTTTGGCTTGTTTTTTGCCATTTTTTCTTAATTTTAAATTAACCCATCTACCTTTTGCCTCTGGACTTTTCCCATTCTTATACTTCTATAAATCTTACTCTTACTACATGGCTTCCTGTGTAATTGGGTGGCTGGCCCCTCATGTCCTCCTTTTTCTCTAGCTACTTCCACTTCCCTCCCAGATTTCTCCTTCTATATATTCTCTCTGCCAGCCAGCCCTTTCCAAATTTTCTCCTGCCTTGCTATTGGTCAGTTCTTTATTAGACCATTAGGTGTTGTATACAGGCACAGGATCACAGCTTCACAGAGTTAAACAAATGCAACATAAATAAAAGTAACACATCTTAAAATAATATTCTACATTTCCCCCTTTTATCTAAACAAAAATAAAGATTTTAACTTTAACATAGTAAAGCTATACACAACCAAACATTATTAAGAATTACGTTCACAATATTCAGTCCCTTTGTATTTAGCATATTGAGAAAATAATACATTATCCATTCTATCTTAGTGACTCCAATGTTTTATACTTAATTTATTTTTATCATATCTAAGGAAAAATGCAACTATAACTATCTAGTCTTCAACTCCATCACAGACCAAGAAGGCTATAATATTATCTAACAACCTAGACATTTGGCTGTCTGGACAGTCACCCAAAGTTCCTCTGCAACACTGGGTCATCCATCTGCAGCCTACAGCCTGACAGCACATTGTCGGCAAAGGCAGGAGCAGTTTCTTGGCCAGTGGCTAATGCCCGTAGTATCTGGCAGACTTTTCAATGAAGCAGGGAATTTGAAGACTGTCCTGCCCTGTTGGCAAAAACATCAGTTACTTTCCTGTGTGTCCTGTAGAATATCTGGCAGACTCTTCTACAAAGCGGGAATTTTGGACTGTCCTGCCTTGTTTTGGCAAATTCAACAGTCTTTTTTCTGTGTGCTCTGCATGTCCAGTCTGCACAGCACATTGTCGTCAGTCAAAGGTAAGAAGAGTTTCTTTGCCCAGTGGCTAACCTTGCCACAGTGAAAGCAAACTCCATAAGGAGTTTCTTCAATGGCCATCATCTCTGAAGTAAATTAGTGCTTCCAAGGCCAGATGTGTCTCATTGTAAACTTTATGTTAACAAAAGACTTTAAATGCCATATTCTATAGGTCCTTGAAGTATTTGAAGACCATCTATCAAAAATGTATCTATTTAACCTAGAAAACATACCTAACATAGCTATACATTTGATTGTTATAAATGAGTAACTACTGACCTATGTTTCTTGATTATTCTATTATAGTTTATAATAACAGCTTTCAAAAATAGAATTTTACCTTATATTTTTTAAATAAACTGTACGGGTACAATACCTAAAACAATAGGAACATATATACAATATAGTGTAACAAAAAAACCTTAAATTTTTATCATTACATAAAAATCCTTTAAGCAAAAGTAGAACTAAATATATACAATAGAGGTTTTTCCATCTGGACCTCTTTAATTGCATATCTTTTGCCCTTTTGGCCATATGAGCAAGCCTTTAA